TATGGAGGATACCAAGATCTCTGAGTGTGGCATGAACAGTGTAGCCTCTTTCGAGAAGACACTTAACCAGCCAAGAACCGATGTATCCACTTGCACCAGTCACGCAATACGTCGTCGTTTTGTTTTCTTCTCCCTTGAGTTCCATCGTGTCTCTCCTCTTCTTCTCCAAATGCCAAAATGGTTTTACAGATAAAATTATTATTTATGTTTCCTTTTGTCTGTGCTGTTTTAATATTGATTTTGTTTGTTTCTTTTGGTCGGTGTAAATTTTCTTATATTTTTTGTCAATTGGGAAACTACAGACAAACAACTTTGTTAAAAAATCTTTTTGGCATATTATTATATTTGGTAAGATTGGATTATTGCTATATTTGCTTGATTACAAAATCATATTAAATTTGATGTATACAAAACTCTGGAAATTGGGACCGTGTAAGAAGAGGAGATAAAGATGTAACATATGTACGGCATCATCTAAGCAAGATAGAAGAAGAAATTTAAGAGATAATAAGTCTACGGCAGTGGCTGAAAACCTGCAATCAGACGTTGCGATTATTGTTTGTTTAACAGTCGCAGGTTTCAGCGTTTAAACATTCCAGATGCAGTGTTTTGCTGCAACGTTCGGCCGCAGGATTTTGCGATAGGCAAACAAACAATATATAGACGTATGTCACAGTGACAGTGTAATAACTCTGGTGAGAGATCAAAACGGTTGCGGGCGATGATCGAGCCAAAACTGACACGTGAAGCACGACTGGTTCGGAAGCAAGAGGTAGTGAGAAGCACGAAGTGGCATGATGTTTTCAAACTTAACATTTTTACAAAAATATAAATTTTGTGAAAGTACGACACAACAGCTCGGAATTGACTAGCTCGAGATTGACCAGCTTGGAATTCATCAACTTCGGCCTTGTCGTTGATACGTCTGGGGTCTGGACAGTCCACTGCCATCACGTGACACAAAACCCGCAAATCCAGTTACCTACCTTCATGATTTATTAAGCTTATAAATAGGAGTAAGGAGCTTTCATTTTATTCATAAAAAATTTTAGCGAACCTCTAGCAAAATGAAAACGTGATAGTGATCCATACCACAATTCGTTGTCGCTAACCACCACGTAGTGTCGGGATCAATCGAGAATATAGCCTCAACTCTGTCCGTTTTAAGGGAAAGAAACTTATTAGTCAGTGGAATAGCCGAGGAACCTAGGTCCAGTCAAGACCCTAAGTCCGAATCTAAGCCATAATAATTCAGAATACAAATGTGATTTGTGGTGATATTTTTCGTGTGTTGATGAGTTATACACACATTGTTGTTTTTTTTTGTTATGCTTTATATCGGTTGAGGTTCATGCTAGAATTTTAAAAATTTGGTTAAGTGTTTCTTTGATTGTTTGTGCATGATGTTTGATTGAATGCTGCATTATTCACGAGATGATTTTGTATGTACTTGGCATTAACTTTTGTGAATGCAGAGTTTCAAGAGGAAGCTTGATTCGTATGTGATATGATGCGGTCATTAATTAAATCGGTCGGTGAACTGGAGTTCCATCAAACTCACCCTTCGAGCCACATAGGATCCCACAAGGACACATGTACATTTCATGGAGCCTACCGAACCAACTAGAAGGAGTTAAGAAACAAATATTTTTTTTTCCTGAAACGTGACTCATCAGAGAATCACTTCAAACTAGAATTGGGTTCATAGGAGCTCAGTCCAAACTGGAATCAAAATTATAAACACGGTGATTGCAGACAATCTAGTTCGTGAAGTTGATGCACACCTATGTCCATTGTTCATTGCCTTCTAGCTCAACCACGAAGATTCAGAGTATGGGACCACTTCGAAAAGATTCTAAGATCATCTAGAGCATGCTTGAAAGTTGAATCAGCCCAATCGAATTAAGTCTAGACATAGGATTTATTCAGATCACGTGATTCTGACCATAACCGAATTGGACATACACGCAATTGAAGGATTCCGATCAAACCAGGTGGAATTAAGCTACAAATTGACTTGATATGGAATCCTGACCCAACATAGATTCTCTGAAAATTGGATTCATGCCAAGAAAAGTTTTGTTTTGGAAGATATTAATTTTCTAAACCAGAAGATCCAGACTTGCCTTATTTGGAAACTTGGAGCATTAAACCACAATGGTCATATTTCTATCAACTTGTGCGTGTTTGAAAGCCTCCCTACATCATCAAAAATGTTCCAAAGTCGCATCACTACCTCCCCAAACTATCAAGATACAAGGAGCCTCCAACTTACCTTATTTGGCCGATTGTGTCATCAATTCTCCACCTGCTAGTTTCTTATTTTTTAAGATTTGCTTCTTGTTTTAGACGTTATAGATGTTCATTGTTTAGCCTATATAAGCTCATTTCATTGTTCATTGTAAATCACCCTACATATTGCATTATTCAATAAAAACGTTAAGTTTTCATTTAGAAAAGTGTGTCTTTTGTGTTCTTTACATTTCAAGTCCATGGTGAGATGCCATTGTCTTGTACGATTGTGTTGTTTGTGAGATCCAAACAGTTTGGTTCGTGTGTTGTTGTGGATTCAACAACAAAAACCTCCATCTCTATCTCTATCTTCATCCATCTTCCGTGTGCAAAGCTTGCAAACTATCGATTCTTGTGAACATAAGTTTAATGGATTCCAATCTTATATTATCTTGTATCAGAGC